CCATCAGAGGCTGCATTTTAACCAGAGGTAAAATGGCAAAATTACTCCCCATTACCTACTTCCCAGACTGATTGGTTTCAAATTATTTTGAAAAAAAAAAAAAAATCAAAATTTTTTTTTAAACTCTGCTCCTGCTGTGAGTATAGAGCTTTTCTGAAAATACTGGGCTTGATAACTCAGTGTCCCAAAACTCTGTCTTTAAAACAGAGACAACATTTCTCTTCCCCTGGTTTGAGCTTGCCTAGGGTTCTCCCCAAATACATCTGCATGAATTGCTGGTGTCATGGGACAACGATTTCACTGTGGTCCAATATCTGCTGGTAAGAACAGCTACTTCCAATATCAACAGAAGAGTGTTGTATAAAATAAATCTGCATCTCCCAAGTGCCCATTTGGGTTGTTTTTCTTGGGCACCATGTGCATGCCCCACTGTGTGCTTGCCATCCCTGCCACATGACAGGGAACCTAACCCTACCTGTCCCTGTGGGGACTGGCAGCCAGCTGACAGCCCCACAAGTCAAACAGCCAGAAGGTCAGGCAATGAAAGAGACGTCACCCACAAGCCAAAGTGACAGCTGAACTCCTGCACAGATTCCAGCGGTTTCACTGAGACTTTAAATCACCAAAAGCTTCTGTCAGCAACCCCATGTGATTTCTGCCTTGCAGCCTGAGGAGCAGAAAGCCCCAGGCTAGTGACTCACGGGAGGGAGCAGATGACAGTGCTATCTGGGGCAGGACATGGCTTGGGGAGAATGCCATCACCATTCCTTAGTTCTCATTTCCAGTTAGTGCGCATGAAAGGTACTGGGCTGACATCCCAGGAGAATAGCTGTCTTCTAATTAATTATAATTAATCATCCAGGCATTACTTAATGTTTGCATAGTGCTTTGAAGTGCCAAAGCACAATATATCAGGTAGATAATATTCACTCCAAGAAACAGGTATAATCAAGCCAGGGCTGCCTGTGTGGCTTCCCACCAAAGAGAGCACACCAACTCAGCTCACACGAGTGGACCCTGCCTTAGCTCCACCATGTCCTTCAAGAAATCTGTGTGTACCCTGAACCCTTTGTGCACCCCTCCCAGGCCCGTGGGGGAAGGAGAAGGACGGATGAAAAGGGGTGAGATAGGGCAGGGCAAAGGGCACTTCCTTTCCCTCCTGCTTTTTTGGCCACCTCTTCACCTGGAGCATGGATCAGCATCTCTAATGGCAAGAGCAGCAGCTTGGACTCCCCCTCAAACTCATTCTGGGATTTTCCACTGAGCTGAGACAGTCTGAAGTGGGAGGAAGGAGGCCCCTATGCTTCCCCATCCACCCCTTCCCTCAGCCCTCCAGACTGCAGCTCTCTCTAATGCCATCTGACTGCTCCCTCACTCCCTGACAGCAGCCAGACCTGTGTCATCTTCCTGGACATTTGATTTTACCAGTTTGCCTTACTCTGCCCTGGCTGGGGACTGCCATTCATCTGCCAGAAGAAAAGGGGCCCAATGCTCCCTGTCACTGGCATTCTCCCTGTGGGGGCACTGAGGATGCTCCCTCCCCATGAGCATGGCTGTAAATCCTGGAGCTTAATTTTTCACTGCATGCATAGTGAACATTTCAAAGTGCTTACAAATCCCCTCAAGCACCATCAAGTCAAACAAGTGACGGTAATGATCAGTGGCAGAATGACAGGCCGGTTCATACCGCTTGTTCTTTTATAGGGGCACTCAAAAAAGTCTCAGTTGTTCCCCTTTTACAGAACTGTGACTGCATTTATTTACAAATTACAAGACTACCTAGATATTTGGCTTTCTGGGAGCCTGTGCTGGGTACCAAACTTCTGGTAGTATCATAACTAAGTTACCATGGTATCAATCCCGGTAAGGGCTGATGCTATCAGAATGACAATGACAACAATCTGCATCCCATTCTGCTCTGATTGCCTCTTGTGTGCCTCCACACTCCCTCCCCTTCCTTCACCCCTCTCCTGTACCCAGGATGATGTTGCAGCTCTGCTCAGCATCATTTCTGCTGCAGCCCCTCACAGTCCCCCTGAATCAGGATTTAGTCATTCAGGATAATTATATTACTGTGAGGCGAAATAAAGTGAGATCTATGTCCTTACTCTCTAAGCTGACTTCCTCAAGAAAAAATATTTCAATTGGCAGTGTGACCACTATTGCCCTTTTTAAAAAAATTACAATTAGTATGAAAAATTCAGATGATGAATATTGTCACTACTGGAAACAAAGCAAATGGTAATACAGCACTTTTTTCTTCCCTGAACTGCCTCCCCAAACGTGGTGTAAACTTTCACCCAAGTCAGGACATGGAACCTACCTCAGCAAAGCCTTGTACTCCTGCTGAAATCAGTGGAGGCTACAGCTGGGGACATGAAGAACTTTGGAGCCATTGGGTGACAGTGTTTGCCCTGATGCTATCATTTAGCCCATCCATGCCATGGATCAGAGATGGGCTGTTTTCATCAAAGCATAAGAAACCAGGAATGAAGAACACCCACCATGTGTGAGAGTAGCAGAAGATGCTTGTGGTCAGGTCACCTAATATACCTGCTAGAGACAGGGACCCCTTGTTCTTTAAGTAACAAAAGCAAATGAAAATTCATTTCTATGTCTCAACTTCCATGGTTGCCAGTGAGAAAACTGGTTCTGCATCATTTCCAAAAATGACAGATTTTTCACCTTATTGTTATTGTTCTAACATGATTTATTTCCCTGTCCTCTGCTGTTTCCTCCACCCTCTGCAAAGGATCCTGCCCCTTCACAGCATGTCCACACAGACAGCATTCAGCATAACTGAGTGGGTGGAAATCTCCACAGGGGTTGTGGAAAGTGCTGCTGACAGAAGAGAAATGGCTCTGTCAGGGCCAGATCCTCCTGCCACTTGCTCAGTGCTTCCACCGAGAGGTTTCCTTCCTTGTATTTATGCTGAGTGCCAGATTGTCCTGGTTTCAGCTAGGGCAGAGTTAATTTCTTCTCAGTGGCTGTTAGGTGCTGTGTTTTGAATTCATAATGAGAATGTTTTGGTTTTTTGTTAAGTGTTTATCCTAAGCCAAGGGCTTTTTTCCTTGTCTCATGCTCTGCCAGTGAGGAGGTGAAAAAAGGAAACTGGGAGGGATCACAGCTTGGACAGGTGACCTGAACTGACCAAAGGGGCATTCTACACCTCAGAACACCATGGCCAGAAACTGGGGGGAGCTACCCGAAAAAGGGACCAGTCTGGGTTTGGGAAGAGAGGTCTGGCATGGGTCAGTGGGTGGTGAGCAATTCTATCTTGCATTGCTTGTTTTTTCCATTTTATTATTATTTTTATCATCATTTAGCATAATTTTTGAATATTACTTAATTTTCAATTATTAAACTGTTCTTATCTCAAACTGCAAGTTTTACTTTGAGTCTCCTTCCCAATCCACTGGGGTGGAGGGGTGAGAGGGAGGTTGGGTGAGCAGCTGTGTAGTGCTTAATTTCCAGCTGGGCTTGAACCACAAAACAGATGAATTGCTTGTGTGCCTCTGGTCAGGAAAGGGAAGGAAAAAGATCATGAAAAAAACCCCTATTTTTTAAAAAAATGTTCTTTTCTCCTCTCAAATTGATGCTAAGAAAAATGCTTCAGTGCTGTACAGATGCCCTTGGTGTGGTTTCAATGCTCTTTCATTTTCTGCTGGGTATAACAGGGTCAGCGGGTATCAGTTTTGGGAGCAGTTTCTGTCATCCAAGCACCTATTAATGTGAACTTTACTGAAAACCTCTCTGTTCACAGGTGTCTCTGGGCAGACTTCACAATAATTTTCTGGCTTTGGGCATAAGAGTGAAATGTTATATTTCATAACACTTCCTTATAAGCACTTTCTCAATGCCCAGGTGATGATGAAAGTATCACTGTCAGCTAGAACTTACTGAAATCCTGGAAATTAAGGAATGCTTCATCAGATGAAGTTAAATTGCTATAGTTTTACTGACTAGTAGTACTGTAGAACATTCCCTGTCTCTTACCCAGCCTAGGAAAATGCAGTGGCAGACTCTGGGACCTGAAGATATCTGCTGTATGGCCTTCTCTCTACAGGGTGCTCCTGTAACAAAGTTGTTTGGTGTCTGTTCTATCAGCCATTCTTTCCACAAAGCAAGGCTCCATCAACCATTATTTCCCAAGAAATATTGCTCCACCAACCATTCTTTTCCAAGAAGCTTTGCATCACAGCATATAATTAGCCCATCACCTGTCCCATCAGCCTCTTCAGTCACTGTTTCCAGGTCTAAAACAATTTCCACGGAGCCACATCTTCTCTTACCCCAATACTCCTGTGCTGAGTGGTTAAGCTGGATATGGTGCCAGGGTTACTGATAGTGCTTGTTTGTTTTGTTAAATGGCTGCTCTGTTTTGTTTCTGAGTCCAATGTACTTCCATAAAGGCTGAAGGAATTAGTACAGAAAATGATAAATCTTCAAAAGCTTTGGGGTTCTGCTGGAAATAATGTGCTGCATGAATTTTCCAAAAGAAGCTGCAGTCTAGTGAAGGTCTGCCAAAAGCAGTTTAAAGCTCATATACAACAATAAGCTTGGCAATCTATAGGTCTGAGTTGGAGTTCTAGCAACATGGCCATTTCACCAGCAGAAGTTATTTTTCATTTGAGGTAACAATAAAGACCCATAAACATGATGCTGTTCCACAGCCAATTTTGCTGTGGAACACTGCCAAGTTTTAAACCTGCATGGACTTCCCAGCCTACTCCTGCTCCAGAGAAAGAGTCTCAATCCACAAATTCAGCAGCACTGGAGATGGGAAGCTTCCATTCAAACAGCCCATTTCTCTCCCAGAAGCCTGTCAGCCATTCAGTACCTGTTCCATTATTCTCTGTTTAGCCTAGTTCTCAATACCACAAGCTATTGTGGCTGCTGTCACTTCCCCTGAATGACAAGCTAACAGCTCTCAGCTCCCACACTCAATGTGAGATGAAGCCATTTCATTCAAGATAAAAAGAGGAACCAGGAGGTCCTACCTGCAGCAATTCCCATCTTCCCGTCCACAGACACAGACACGGCCGTGCTCACTGTCACCACTTTTGGCAGGCCACCCCCCTCTGTCAAGACACAAAGACAGCAGGTTTGGTTAGCTTACCCCCCAGAGAGGAATCAAATGCAGCAGGAGCAGCTTGCCCACACATTTTCCCATCCAGGACAGTGTGTACATATGCCTCAACTCTGAAACATCCCAGAATTTCGAGGGCTGCATCTTTCCAGACAGCCTAATGGGCTGTGAGTAGATTTTATTTTCCTCTTCTCTATAACTCATGATAAAAGTGGCATCCTCATCATAAAGGAAGTGTCTAAGGCTGGATGGGGGTGGTTTGAGCAACCTTGTCTCGTGGAAGACATCCCTGCCCACAGCAAGGGGTGTGGGACTAAGTGACTTTTAAGGTCCCTTTACTATTTGTTGTTGTGGGATTGCGTTTTTTTTTTTTTAGGGCTGTGTTTTTTTGGGATACTTTTTTTATGAGGAGTTTTCTTTATCTTGGTTTTGTTTTAGGAAAGATTTTTTTAAGGTTTTTTTGGTTGGGTTTTTTTGTGTTTATTCATATATAATTAAAAGATTTGGTAATTTTTTTTGACTTTTTGTTTAACTCACTATAGCTTGGTTTAAGTTGGTTTTAATAGCTCAAAATGGTTTCAAAATATGCAGTTCTTTTGTTTTTTATATTTATTTTTATTTTTACTCAACTATAGACATGTAAATTATTTTTCTTAGTGACTTAATGACTTATTACTTGTGTGTTGTATTGTGATATTTTTTATCTAATTATTTATTATTACTTAAACCTTTTAAAGAAGAAGATGAAGAAGAAAGAAGGAAAAGATACAACATTTTAATTTTTTTATTTTGTTTTTTGTTTTTTAAATTAGTTTATACTCTAACTTTTTCGCTCAGTGACTTAAGTAAACTTTTTAATTTACACACTCTAACTTTTAGGTTTTTTATTTAACTTTAACAGTTGTTTCCATGGTGTTATATGAAATTCAGTGTTTTCTTGGATGTCAGAGCTAGGTATCAGAGACAAGGGCACACACTCTGTGCCTCAGACTCCAACACCTTTCAGCCCAAAACGTTCCATGATCCTGTGATAAAATGTAAAGGATTTTCCTCCTCGATTTTGGGCATGTAGAGCTTCTCTTCAGCCAGAGAGTTCTGCTCAGTGCACCATCTAAACTCTGTGGATAGAGGCGAAGCAGGACAGGTAATTCTGACAACACCTGCACAGCAAAGGCCAGGTTTATGTTTGACTCTCAAGCCAGGCCAGCGTTACAAACTGCAGGCACAGCAGTTCCAGCTGCTCCCAGAGTGCACTCCATCTCACCAACAAACTCTTCTGGGACTTTGCTGCCTAAACTCCCAGGGTCTCCCAGTTATCCTTGAGCTGCTGCTGTAAGGTCCTGTAGGTCCTGTAGGTCCTGTGCCACATCTGCCAGCCCTGTGCAGATCTCTGAGCTCCCACAGGGCACTTAAAATCACATGGCTGGGTAGGCTCATGCAACTGAACCACAGCTCTTTGTCAGTGCAGTTGTTTCAGCCTTGCCCATGCGGCAGATGTATTTTTTTTTAAAGTGATTAGATTATCTTCAGCTGGGGCACCTCTTTGGGAAGTGCCAGGACTGGACAGAAGGGCAGTCTGATCTATGAAGTGTGCACCTGGTTCCCTCCTTGCATTCTCTATGGAAATCTCTTGCTTAGACAGATGGGTCAGGGATTCTTTCCTTCCCCACACCTCCAGCGTTTGTTACTGCTCTCCATGTCTGCCTTCATCATTCTATGGGTGTCCAGAGCACAGCTCAGTGCCTACCACAGTTTAGCCTGCAGGCTCTCACTATTTTGGTTTTGGTTTTTGATCAAAGGCAGATTAACCTGCTCAAGTGTGTCAAAAGCAATAAAAGCCTTGTGAAACAAATACTCAGCTCACACACCTCGAGCATGATCCTGCCTTTATGGTGAAACTCAAATGTCTTGTTCGAGGATGGGATAAAGAGGCAAAATACACTTAGGATCTCTAGGAAAAAAAACCCCACCCAACACATGAAAAATCTGGGTTGCAAGAACAGTAGTACTTGACATGCAGAGGCTTCCCTGCTGTCCTTTTATTTCTGAGACTTCTGGACACTGGAAGGAGGTGCTGTGCATAAATGATTCTGATGAATTGCAGTTATTTCCTGCTGGTTTCCTCCCCAACAGAGAGCTCTTGGGGGTTTTCTTTCTTAGATGATTAGAAGTCCATCTGCCATGAAAAACCTCCTCTCACAGCAGGGGACTCATAGAAGACATGAAAAGGAGACTTCAGCATCTGATAGAATTTAATAAGAAACTGGGTGGCCTATTTTGGCTAAAATGTGGGGCAACTCTGTTTCATCAGATGTCAAGGAAGGGCCTGGACTCTGCTTTGCAGTGAACCACTGGGTATTGTTTCCTGACCCTTTCCAGGCATATTGTGTGATCCCATGGATCAGAGTCTCTCTGAGCCCAGCTGCTCATCCCTAAAGACTAATAATCTCCCTTACAGTTTAGGGTACGAGGTCTTCAGGGCCAAGTGCTACCTCTTACAAGGTGCCTGCAGGGTTTCCAGGTGAGTGGGGTCCTGGACTTGACCAAAGCTTCTGACCCACAGCTGTGTAAAACAAAGAGCAGTGCCAGCTACTTGTGCTCTGTCTTTATCCAAAACTAGCTGTGACTTCTAAGAAAGCCAGGGCAAGCCACAGCCCCAGTGTTCAGGCAGCAGTGAGTGCTGTGGCCTGGGGAACGGCTGCCCTAGGTGGTCCCACAGGGTGTCACTGCCTGGTTTTCCAACCCACTCTCTATTCCAAAGAGCCATGGCTTGCAGGGGAGTAAAAGGTTCCTCTTGCCATCTCTCCCCCTCTCTCCACACTTGCCTTTTAAGTGAGATGTAAGGGTGCTGGGGAGAGAGAGGCTTTTGTAGGTTTTGAGTATTTTCTCCTTCCATTCCTTTCCCTTCACATCCTGGTTCATCTCTTTCCTCCCAGGCTGGTTTTCTTCTCTTTGCTACTTGCTTTCCCACCCACCAGACTCCCACCACTGTGCCACAAAAAGCTTTAACAGCTACAGTGCTGAGCTCTGTGACAGAGATGGAGAGCTAGGGGCCAGGGAGGAGCACAGAGGAGATTTCTGCCTTCTGTGGAGGAGTCTCACACGAATATTTTGTTTTGCTTGTTTGTTTTTAGGCTCTTCTGCTCTCTTCCAGCCTTTGAGAGGGTCCTGGCTGGCCCTGCATACTCACAGGAAACAACAACCCAAGCAAGAGATACTGAAAAGCCACTCCTTGCTTTCCTCTGGCGTTTGAACTTTGCTGAGAAAGAGATGCCATGTTCTAGTACTAGGATTAGAAGGATGCAGGCCACCAATGCTATGGAAAAGTCTTCCCCTCCACCCTTTTCCATAACAAACCCATCCTTTCCTGCCATGGAAAGTGGTGATGGAAAAAATGACACCCTCTGAACTTAGGCTTCCTGACTGTGTGCTGGTCCCTCACCAGTGCCAGCTGTTACTGCTGTGCAGCAGGGCTGATGTTGCTCCCTCCCGAGCCTGGCCGCACCCATGTGTCTCATTCCCTCTGCCATACCTTTCCTGTTCCCTTCTCATGTTCCGTGTGCATTACAGCCCCACCTTGTATTCCTCCAGCTCCTGCCTCCCCAAACCTTTCCATCTACCCAAGCCCTGCATTTCCACTTCCATTTCCATCCTTCTCCTCCTCTGTAGCCCTGCGTTACTCGCTCCTGCCTGCCTTCCCCGCAGCTCCGTCTTCCAGCTGTCATCAGCATCCTGGCCATGAGCTCTCTGCCCCTCGCTGCTGCGAAGGAACCTTGCCAAGAGGGCAGGTGTCAGCACTTCCCACTAGGCGGGATAAAGGGGTCGGGATGGGCGCCGTGTGGGATGCAAAGTGTGAAAAGCCTTTTTTCTCTTTCTCCCTGCCTGCTCTGTGTTCAGGCTGGGGTTACCTGAATCATCTTCCGAGACAATGCTGTAGATGAAGCTGCCGGGGGGATGCTCGGCCGCCCTGCGGTACCACAGAGGGAAGTGGTCCATGGTGAAGATGCTTTCCTTGTCCTTCTGTGTCAGGAATTTCCTGCCGGGAGAAAACACCTCGATCAGGGCGCGGAGGAGCGGCAGCCCACGGGCAGCGGGACACCTGCGCCCGCACCTATCACCCAGGGTTTTCCAGGGCCGAGGGCAGGCGGTGCGGCCGCTGTCCCCCGCTGTCCCCCCGGGGCAGGGCCGGGCCCTCGCTCGCTCCTCAGGGGCGGCCGCGCCCCCGCGCCTCCCGCGCCCGCCGCCAGGTGCCGCTGTTGGCCCGGGCCAGGCCCGCGGCGGCGGCCCCGGGCGGGCTGCGGGCTCTGAGGGCCGGGAGGGAACCGGGGCAGCACTGAGGGGACACCGGGGCAGCACTGAGGGGACACCGGGAGAGCACTGAGGGGACACCGGGAGAGCACTGAGGGGACACCGGGGCTGCACTG